AAGTTCCAACACATAAACCTTCAGGCGATAAACCGCATAGTGAAATTCCTTGGCACATAACTGGTGGAAGAACCGGTACACCTCGTTATGCTCTTATATTGAACTCGAACTGTCGTCGAGTACACGGCAAGTGATGGCATCCTTCTAGCACTATTATCAACGGTAACCAAGCGGTAGAAGAATATGTTCTGCGTGATCAATGAATGACATGCATCTTATTTTACCGTTTATGCGCACACAACGCGTTTTGAAAATGTAGATCGCAGCGCTGCGTGAAATCAACTTCCATTTAATTGTCCTTTGTAACAAGCGAGCAGTTATTAAATATGGGTTTACGGATACTGAATTTAAATTAGACTAAAATTTATGCACCCGCATTTAAGAATATTTAATGTAAATAAATGATCGAGAATAATGGACTAAAGCGAAGAGCAATCAATATTTCTGCTTCATCAAAAGTTCATACAAATCGTATGTAAATTATCTTTATAACTAGTATTAAGTATGATTTATCGGATAACGTGTGCTCGAAATCTAATTAATTTGAACTCTACAGTAATTGCATTAAATATATCTAATATTCCAACATTACTGTTGTAGCATGATAATTATTTCAAGTAAATCATTATTTAACTGTAGATTATATTGCTTGTGTACCTCTTTTTGAAAGTGTGCACTACGTGTGCGCTAAATACAACTGCTCCTGCTGATAAAATTCTTAGACAGATAAGATATTGCTAATGCCCATCATGAGATCTATAAAATGGTCAAACTATTCATTTATTCATCGTACAGTACATTAGAAATTTATTATTAATCTATCATTTATAAGAAATATGATTCTTTTAACAGTATCATGAGAAACGTCTCACTTTCACGTTTCTATGTTATCTGTTCCAATAACGATGGCATACTACGCCTTGGAACTCACAATAATTCTTTGTAAGTTATGGCGAATACGTAAGACTAAAGTGCACACATTGACAATAGACACTGCAAATGAATAAAAGAAATTTCAAATTGTTTTAAATTGATCATGTTCGGTTTAGTCTGTTTGTGTCGCCTCTGAAGGTTTACGACACCATTATTAGTGGATAGCCAGAAGCTTAAAAGCCCACGTGTTTACGAAGAAACGTGACGCAAGTAATTTACTTCTAATAGCCTGACCTCAATACTAATTAAAAGACTGCTGAAAATACCGCGTGAGTGCACTTTCTCAAAAGTAGCGAATTTCCGCGTCCGTTTATAAATTCGCAATAAACTCTACTTTAATAAGACAACGAATAGACATTATTTCATAAACGTACACACACATGTCAGGTTATTAAGGAAAAATTATTAATATCATACTACTCAAGAAATCCGTGGTTCTCAGCAATATCGATATTTTAAATTGCAAATGTTTTCACGCTCAAACTATAAACCTGATACATTCGTCGATGAGTAACAGTTCTCAAAAGATGATTGAAGAAACTCATGTAACATCTTCAAACATATATCTGCTCTTGTGCTGTAAGCTTTAAAGAATTCCAAAATATCGACACATTACAATTTATTAGAACTATTAGAACTACCAAAAAGAAAAGTATATGGACCGACTCGCTTTCTATGTTTGCAATCTGTTCAAACAATTTTTACTCCGGGCACAGATCCGTAGTCTAAGAACGAGGACAAACGTCTTTTAACAGTGCCTTGAAAGTGTCATCTGAATCTAGGTGACGCTCTATATGACGTAATATGTGTATATTACCAGAAGGATTCTAACGATTCACAAACTTCGGTGAATAAGATGTCTTTTGACAAATAAAACGAATTCCTTCGTTCCTTTCGAAGGAGAGCACTTCTGAAAGTTCAAAGCACCGTCTTTTTAGGACGAACCTTAAAATTTAATATCGCTGAAGTTTCTCCTCGATTCGGTTCGAAAATAAATTGCGTGTACAGTGCCCGAACGCGCTCGAACGGCCTATTTCGCGAGACTATTCGAAAATAATATCTCTCGGGTGAATTAGTTGGCTTTCCTGACCGAATTAGCCTGCTTATATTGCTGTCGGCGTTGGATAACGGATAGACGTGAGGCAATTGCATGAGTCCAAACCTCGATGCCTTCTACGAACCATCGCAAAAAAGTTTATCCCGCTGTACTTTAATTTCGAACGCCTCGCGCAGTTGTAAACTCCCTATTACTCCACTTTTATGTAATGTCCTGCACGACTTCGTGTGCAACATGTCTTCTGGATAAGATAAGTGCGACCTTCGACTATAAACATAGCATGTTGCAGCGAGACGTTGTGACTCACGTGTTTTCGATTATCGTACGCTTGATTTCACGGATATGCTTCGCAGGTGGGTTAGCGAATTTTTCTTACAATTAATTGCAATTCATTGCATGTAGACAATCCAGAACGCTTAATTTTCATAAAGATAGTACACGAAGGTTCCTCGAACCTTGCACGAAGATAAGGTTCAACAAAATAAACGTTCTAACTAATCTGATATTGTGTATTTTCTAATAGGCGAGAGTACAGAAGAATGTAATTTAGTTCATTATTTAGTTTATTATGAAAGCTTAATTATTTCAATGATATATTTTTCTATCACACATTTTCAATGTTATAATTAGAGTGCGGATTTTATGCATTTATGACAAAAACGAGTAGATCAAATTTAACATAGTGAGAACATTTAAAGAATTTATAGATACTTTTGTATTATGATCAATTCATTGAAATGATTAAGAAATGAAATGCAGTCAGTGCAGACAATTTTTATTTTGCGTAAAGACTGTAGTTCAGTTCACACAATTAGTGATCTGATTTTAGGACATTTTAACAATTAAATTCAAAAGCGTGGTCCGTTTTTCAATATCGTGTTTATAAGGTTCGAGGATGAATCAATTCGAATCGAAAGGATGAAACAGGAGATGGTACTCTAACGCACACCGTGTTCCCTGATGAACCGGCAATCGCTAGAAATTTCGCAGGAAATCATGATAGTCGAAGTTCTCTCGATCGGTGTCTCACGGTGCAGAAGATGCGCGGAAGAGGGAGAACGTGTCGATGCGATCCAACAATGAGGTACATGCACGACATGATTCCGGGACAAACGGTCACGAGAGCACAACGGACCTCAAGTGTTGTACAAGAACGGCTGTTCCTGTCGGAGATCAAAATCAACTTGGCGTGGTGCCTGGACTAGGGGAGTGCGCACCGTAACCTGGAATCAACAGCGAAATAACATGGCCAAGCTGGTTGAAATGCCCGCGCGAATATAACTGTCGACAAATATCTCTAATTTACAACACATTCACCCTGTTACGGAATTTACGGATCTTGTTCGGCAGAGATTCATCTGCGATTCTTCCGCTGGGCTGCAGTTTCACAAACTTTCATCGGAATGACATTTACTTCGTCAAGAAGCTCTGCGTGCAGATAAAAAATGTATAAATCCACCGATCCTGAGCGGCACAGCGTTTCCGTTAATTCTCGCGTGTCGGCACCCTTAATTTACTCCGCATCCTCGATTAACTTTATTAACACTGTCGGTGACATATCAATTTACTATGCGGGTATATAACTTGCATGGTTAGGGCGTACTATGTGTCGGAAAGTTCTTATTTTATTTATGCGTCGCGGAAGGAGTTACGAGTCGTGGCAAGAGAGACGAGAAACAAGAAACGGGGAGGAGGAAGACGTCGACGGAAGAAGAAGAACGCAGCATGCAAGACATCTTAGAATGAATGTAATAGATCTGTTATAGATATTGTGTGCACATTAGGGTGGTCATTATATCATTACATCTTAAATTGTGACACTTGGTGTGAAAATGATGTATGAAAGATTTGAGAGCAATCTGTGTTAAGTTAACGCATTTGCGTTGAAGTTTAAACATTTTAATGATGTAATTTCACTTTCAAACATAATTGTATATCATTATATTAGAAATAATGTTAAACGGTTTTGATTAAACGACAATGCCTTAGATGACTAATGATGAGCTTTATGTGTTACTTCTGAAAATATATACAGAATCTTCAGACTTGTTTTGCCATTAAATACGTATAGCGTATGATGCAGTAACCCTTAAATGTACTTATTATCCCCAACTGTAAGAGATGTTTTTATCTTTCCAACATCGACGATACCCGATAAAAGTAATACACATTGAAAATGAAATTAAATCATTTACATTTTTCAACTTGAACGCAAATGTTGCACGGATACTCGTTATTCGATTGCTTCATAATTTTCTCACCAAATATCATAATTAGATTGCGGTTCTTCATGCAAAATAAACAATGTTTACACTCAGGGGGATTACTATTCTTTTTTAATAACTTTAATAACTTAAACTTTGTCTGCCTTAAATCTCCCCCCTTTCCCATAAAGAGTGACATTAAAAAAAAATCAAAAGTCGGAGAATAAGAACTACACTACACATGGTATGGTTGTCGAGTCGAAAGTTGAATTTAAGATCAGATTAATCGCAAAACCGTTTCGCTTCAAAAACTCGACAAGCATCTGAAAGTGTTTGCAGGATTAGTCTGACTGATGAACAACTCTCGGTGTTTCGTGGTTTCTAACATTCTCACGATTTAATTAGCAATTAAAGTGCACCTGTTTACGTTCGATGATCGCGCTCGCTTCGGAAATCTTGCCTGGCCTGAGCAGATCGAGAACCGCTGAATCTTGCAACTTCCGTGACACACATCGACCGACTGCGAACTAATCGGCAAATTCCCTGAGGAAACCTCGCGCTGACAGTTTAAACCGCCAGACGAAGCCGAGGTTAATATAATAAGTAAATACGTACTCACATACAGAGTGGAAGCTAATTCGCCGTATGATGAGGAGCTGATGTCTCAGTGATTAACCGAACTTGAGACACGTGCGCGTTTTTGCACACAGGTGAGCAACAATTTTTCACTTGGGCTATTTTATATTCACTATCTATAGCGTGAATATTTTGTATCGAAGGTATTGTTATACAGAATCGTCGTCGGTGTTATTCCTTCATTCTGAAATAAATTGATGGAGTACTTATTGATTTATCTGTACGTTCATAATGTCGCGTAAGTCTCTTGTTTGTATTAAAAGAAACATTACTTGAGGCACAGGTTCAATACAGTGTAACTCACGAAAGTGTTCGAACGTATTTTTTGCCAATGCAGGTTTTTAACGTTCTTGTCATTGCAGTTAATTAGTGTTATTGAACAAAATTTGTTAGACACATTTTCTAGCATACTAGTTTCTTTGATATCTTCAAAAACTTCAATTTATATTGTACCAGTTCTTGAAAAGCTATTTCGTTTTAAAAGGTGCTCGAACACTTTCGTGCATCACTGTATGGAAAATAATCTGATTCGACAGTTTTAATTTTCTGTAAAAGAGTGATTCATTTACAACAAATATGTCTTAGCATTTTTTATGAATACTACTTCCTGCGATGTTCTGTCAATATCATTGCTTGCGATTATACAATGTCCTATATATATAGTATATAATACATTAAACCGTTCAACATTAAATATTTCAAAATTAGTGGTACTTCTGTACGAATTCGGAACAGCAAGCGTTGCCTATTATGCTATTTCTTTCAATCTGAATTGATTGAAGAAAAACGACCAATAACCACCTTCAAGTTTACATATATATTGTTAGTATACATAAAGTTTACAAGTTTAGAACCGTAAATTGTGGTAGGTAGCGTCACAGCTAAAAATACTCAGGGAACCCAGAATAAACGTTTACGAAAATAACAAAGACAGTTTTATCCTGTTGACCTGGAATTTAAAGTACTCTTAGTCGGTAACCAACTCAGCTTAGATAAAATTAAAGTTGATTCTTTAAATGACTCGTTGGCTTTTAATTAAACGCGACACCCGCGAAGGTGTGGAAACTACTTTTTACAAACATTAGTCTTTACAAATGATAGAGCAGCATCCTTTGTCTAGTTGAATGAAAAATCTTTCAGTAACTTTGAAAAGCTTTTACAGTCAATTGTATGGTTGTTAAGTTGTTTTTCCGACTTCTTACTAAATTCAATTTAAAAATTTAATTTGAACAACGCAACCATTCTGTATGCATACTTTATATCACCGAACTTTTTTAAAGTGCTCTGTGAAACTTTCCATGTACCTGACATTTCAAGCTTTCCTCCACTTTCTAGAAGAATTTTGGAGCAATTCATGAACTTTACTAATTTGGAAAAGAAGTTATGTATCAAATGTAATGAGTGACTTTGCTTTCTTCTTTAATGTAAACATTAAAAAATAATCTTTCTGAGTTTATGTTACTGTATGAGAAGAAAAGTTCAATGAATGACATTGGATTGCAAGTTTCATATACGGTGGAAACGGACTTCTGCATCTTCGAGGAATTTTCCCAGGTATCCGATTTGAATTTTCTGCTACTTCGTATTCAATATTTCATCGAGAACCATCAGAAGTAATAAAAAACCAAATTGTCAGAACTTTGCGAATTGCAAACTACATTTGGCTCAAGAGAACCACTAACTTTCGGAACCAATGGGAACATAAGGAAATAGAAGCTAGAAGGAACAATACATATACTATATATACATAATGTATGGTTCTTGGCCAAACTTTGGCAGTAATAAGTAAAAACGATCCTAAGCGGACGTGTAAGGAAAAGTCTAAAAGTGTTTCTCTGTTCATTACGTGTCTTTTACTTTAAGCAAAATATGGCCATCGTTTTCTACCATTACATTTCATTATTCTATGAAATTACTTAAGCCATCATTAACAACTTATAAGATATAACGCACTGGGACAATGATGGTCTCTACACTCTTTAAATCTTTATCCTTGTAAAACATCTATTTGAAATAATTAAAAATTTCGTTACAAATTATACGAAAAGAATATTTTTCCGTTTTAAAAATTGATGTAAGCAAAGATTACTTGGGACAAAGTGAAATATCGATGGTAGAATAACATGTCTCTTCGCTAAAACCTCAACTATCAACAATTTGCTAAAACTCGATAAAACACTGCTGAAATTCGATGGAACCTAATTTTTCAAGGCTTTCGCATGTTTGATCGGTGACTATATAGTAAATTCTGTGCGTTACGAAGTGGAATGACTCGGTAGCGAGTCAAGGGACGCATCGCGACAGAAGTCCTGGCGTAGCGATAGGCCGTTGCGTTGTTTTTCGGTGACGATCGCACGCATTCTTCGGTACCAAAAAGCCAGCGACGAGATGGAGAATGCGCTCCTTAGGACCGCAAGTTATTTTAAGAGAACTGGTTTGGTTGCTGTGCTATATTTATTTTTCTCCGGCACGCCAAAGTCATTGACAACGTCCTCTTGCTCGGACCTCACCTTCCCTGTCCTTCGAATTCACATCGATACAGAAGGCCGCGTTCAATTCTCTCGGATCAGAGTCGCCTAACCCTGACAATGCACTTCCTGAAACCGGCCATTGACTATTATACACTAATCGCAACAGTTCTCGTCGAAGACTGCCATCAGGAATTTCGCGAAAAATTTCAAAAGGCGATGTAGGTGTTCGGAAATTACAATTTTACCGCGAGAAGTATACCGACACACTTCAAAATTTCTTGTTTTTGGCTCCACATGGAAATAGAGGTTGTCTTTGGTTCATCTGACGTTATTTGCGATTTAATTGCACGTTGCAAAGTGCAGGCTACTCAAATAGTCGGCCTGAAGAGATTTTGCAAGCTGTTCTTTCCTGCAAATTCTATTTAGCCTCATCATGTGGTAATAATGTTTTAGACAAGGCTGATGTTTAACCTTTTCAGCGAAATTTTTTAAAACAATGTCAGAATAAAACGCTTCAAGGATTCTCTTTGCTGAATTTTCCATTCGCACACGGTACTTAATTACTTAGCCGATTAATCACTTTGAAGCATGTTTTGCAAAAGGAAGGTTAAGCTCAAAACACAGGACCCAGTAACAGGGATAAGCTTTCGCTGAATAATTGCTCACCTCGAACCAATTCTAGCACTTCTCTTTTTGCCATTTCTTTTTCTTCACATTTGCACTTCAAACTTGCACTTGAGCGTTCGAAAGCTTGAGAAATGACTAGGGCGAATAGTGGTGTATTTTGGATTTAGTTCTTTGTCGCAAAATGGGAGGTTCCTGAGGCCATTTCAAGTAACTTTTTTCTTAGCGAAAATGCAATTCGCGGCTTTGTTTACGAGTTATTAACGAAAAATACTGACCAATAAGTGGCGAGCTCGGCTGGCGTGAGGTGGCCCAGCCAACGAACGTACCGAAACCCAGTTCCATTGATTGGCTCAACCGTCTCGCACCAACTGTTCTCGCCTCTTATTGGTCATTCTTTTTCGCTAATAACTCGCAAACAAAGCTGCGGATTGCATTTTCACTAAGGAAAAAGTTACTTCAAATGACGTCAGGAACTCCCCATTTCCGGATTACGAAACATTTCTGGGTCACCCTGTATAATAGTTGTAAAATATAGTAGCCTAATATCAACAACTATAAAAACAAGCCGCAAGGCTCGAATAATCGTACCTCTTCTTCCAAGATTGTCCATTTCTGTTTACAGACTGAGGGATAAATGGAGAGAATTTACTGTATTTACACTTATCAAAAATGTCCAGTTGCTAAAACTACGTTTATTTAGGTATTTTTGGAAAATTTCTGAGCTGATCACACTTATAGTCTTGTAAACTAAGCTATTGGTGTTTAAACTCGGATCTAAATACATATAGATTCGATATAAATATATTTCTGTCCATCGAAGTATCGTTTTACAGTTTTCATTGTTCTCAAATTTTAAAGATGCTTCCAGTAGAAGTTATTGACCCAATCAGGCACACATTGTTATCAAAATTTCAGGAAATCTAAGTAAATTAAATCTTGCAATTTTTATGAAGCATCACGTAAAAGTCATATTTAGCGTGAAAGAAGTTTCTAGAAAGTGACTTGCATATACAACATAACTTACTGACATAACCTATGGCAATGGTCTTCTCCAAAGATTACCCCAGACGCTAATAAATTATGCGGCAATTAATCCAATCCTCGCGTTCTTTTTCGCTCAGACCGTGTTTGTAGGACCGTTTTTCCATTACATGATAATTGAAAATGCGAACCAATTGGTCGGCGATACTGAGCAACACCGGGCCACGGTGAACACGTATCAAACAGCGAGCACGGCCAATTGTTCAACCGGCGATCCAGAAACAGATGGGTCCCGATGCTGGCTGGATAGACGCAATGCACGGATATATGGATGGTTGCTCAGAAGCGACGTAATTGCGGCAACGAGTGGAACCCTCAATGTTGACCCGCTCAGAATCTACGACCGCACATCGGCATTGAAATATTCGGCTCCCTTTAATTGTCCATTGAATTTCGTTCCCCAGTTTCGTTTCCACGGAACACCCCGGCCCCATGTTTACGTGTTGGCTAAATGGAACGTAATAGTTCGTAACGACACGATGGACTAGGGAGATTCGGTGCTACGGTACGGGGTGTTACCAATTACCATAAGGGGTTACCAATTAAACGGTAAAATAATTTAACGTCAAACGCGTAGTCGTTGTTTCGATAATGTGCACCGGACAACTGTTTGGTACATTTATTTTCTTTTCGTACGTATATGTAATAGGTACATATAAATATATGTAACATAGATTTTCATTTATGAATGAACTGATAGAAGTGAGTAATTATTCTCAAAATTGTTGTTAACTGTTGAAGAAAATACGTATCGGTTTTATAAAGTACATATTCAACGAACATCGACATTTATCACATTTTATCTCCGCGAGTTAATCTTTATAGAATATATATGCCATGTGTGTGTGTGTAAACCGGAGAGCGTTCATTTTAAAAGTGTTTTACGATGAGAGTGTGACATAAATATATGTTAGGCGAATTCATGTATTTTATTACACAGCGCCGAACGAGCAGAATTTTTGGAAAATTAATCAGCTGTAGAATGATGGCAGTTGAGAGCCAATGTATCGATTTTCGCCTAAAGGCCGTTTGTCTTTTGTGTACA